TATCATATTATAGAATTCTAAATTTCTAATATAGTCCTATTTTTTATCAATATATATTAAAATGTCGAGAGAATCTGGTAGAAGGTCCGTAGATATGTGCATTGTGAACTGAGGACATTTTAACAAAGGCAAAGCTATCTCCAACTTCGAAGATTCAAGCTCACGTGCTTCTCAACGAAGACACTCTGTCTCTTTCTTTCCTACTATCCCCATCAATTCATAGGTGACGCTATGACTGATCAAGAATTCGACCAGTATTTGAGAGGTAGGAATGACACCAATCTTCGAATTCTTGAAGATATATTCGAGGTTGTTGAAGAGGAGGTGGAACCAATACCTGAGAGCAATGATCCTAACGAGGAGGGGAAAGGTGAGCCGAGACCTCTGAAGATCTAGAAAAAGGTAAAGATACAACAAATGGCAAAATTTTTAGAATTTGTCTTCATTGTGAGAGAGTCTTTTTGGTATATACATGGCTTACCCCATTTTGATATACCCTACCATGCCCCTTTCAGAATAGCGCAGCCAAAGCTGAAACACAGAGACGAAGTTCCTGACCTTGCCAATCATTATCGCCTCATCCACTAGTCATTCTTGACCACTAATTTTTTAAAACCCATATTGACCAGTGGATTATGTCACAGTTTGAGTTTTTTTAATAAATTTGTAGTATTCTTAAATCATGAATTATAAAAAAACTATTTTTAGTTATAATGTAAATTTAGTAAAATTATGTTTATTTCAAAATATAATTTAGAAATATCAAATTTTTATAATATTTAATTATTTAAAATTATATTTACTTTGTAGTCAAAGAGTGTCACAATTTAACTAAAAAAGTCAAATTCTGGCAATCGTTTGGGAACCGAAGAAGTATTTATATTCATCTACTCCTCCGTCCTACTCGTATTAAAGTGCTAAGAACAACTTAGGGGCTGTTTGTTTCAGCCTCTTAATGGTTTAGATGTCTGAATGGTTCAGCACTTAATGGTTCAGACTGTTTGTTTCAGCCTCTTAATGGTTCAGATGTCTCAATGGTTAAGAGATTTGCCTCTGAATGGTTAAGTATTATACAGTGTCTGAATGGTTAAAACCTCTTATCTGAATTGATCAGACATTTGCCTCTGAATAGTTAAGCAATATACTAGCTCTTAATGGTTCTGACCTCTTACTAGTTCATCACTTAATGGTTCAGACTTCTTACTGGTTCAGCATTTACCTATTCAGAAGTTGCCAAACATCCCCTTAGGCTCCGTTCCGTTCAACTTATTTTTTCTGATCTGATCTGATTCTAATAAGTTCTGATCTGATTTGGTCTGATCTGATCTGATTGGATCTGATCTGATCGGATCTGGTCTGATCTGATTAATTATGATTTAATTTAAAATTTCAAATCAATAATTTAATTTGACTTTATAATAACGTTTGAAAATTGTAATGATAATTCATATTATAATATAATCAATATTTTTTATTTAATGATTCCTTTTTAATAAAATAAAAATAGTTAATTCATATATTAGAATAATCATTCATATTATAATGTAATAATATTTTTTATTTTATGATAATTTTTTTGTAAAATTAGAATTATACATTGGAATAAATATTTAATTTAGATATACATTNAAGTAATTAAATTTAGATAATCAATATATAGAAGAGATAGTATTTTTATTAAAATATCTCATCCTTATAAAAGATCAAAATTTTAGAAACTCAAATTACAAGTAGCAATAAAAATATATTTTAAAAGTAGAATTAGATTGACATTCTCAATGTATTTTAAAACTAATTTTTCCGACGTCTAATAATTAAGGATTACTTTCTCAGCTTTTTATTTAACCTATTTCTAAAGTTTATTCTTTTTCATTTTTAAGAACAATAATAATAATAATGATGATGATGATGATGACGATGATGATGATGATGATCATAATAATAATAATAATATAATAATAATAATAATAATAATATAATAATAATAATAATAATAATAATAATAATAATAATAATTCTTGATGAGATCTTATTTTAATAAGTCTTGATCTGATCTGATCTGATTGGATCTGATCTGATTGGATCTGATCTGATCTGATTGGATCTGATCTGATCTGATTTGATTGGATCTGATCTGATCTGATCTGATTCGATCTGATCTGATTCGATCTGATCTGGTCTGATCTGATCTGATCTGATTTTAATAAGAATAAGAAAAAATAAGAAAAAATAAGTTGAACGGAACGGGGCCTTAGTGTAGTTGCTTAAGGAAAGTTCAAGGAATTGTTATTTTCCTAAGCAATTTCTTTGATAAATTAAGTAATCTGTGTTTCACTTAGACTCCATATAAACTCCACTTAAACTCTACATAAACTTTTTAAAGTTAAGCAACTTCTCGTAATCTTTGTATTAAGATGGTCTAATAGTTTGATTTTACAAAAAATTAAAAAGTTATTGAAGGATAAAAAAGTACTCCCTTCGTTTCAAAAAAAGGTTCTCAGTTTGACTAAACACACTGTTTAAGAAAAGTAAATATGTGCTTGAAAGTGATACAAACAAAAGAGAGATTGTAAGCCACTAAAAATATTCTATAAAAAGAAAGAAGAGTCATTTTTTGGGTGTACCAAAAAGAAAATAAGGAGTCTTTTTGGATGGAGAGAATATGTAATTACCCCCTCTGTCCTAATTTAAATCATATGTTGCTATTTATGATATTTGAGTAAAATTAGTTTCAACTCAATTTAGTTATTAACTTGGTATGAAATTAAAAATAAAACTTACATATTTAAAAACCACATTAAAATATCCACAAAATAAGGGGTGATAAAGACTACTTTTTTATCAGATGGGTAGTAAAAATAGGTAAAAACAGGATTAGAGTTCGACCATGTGAATAATAAATAGATGAGATAACTTAAATTGGGACAGAAATAGTGGAATTTATTTAGAAGATAAAAAATTGTTAGTAACCGTATATTCATTACTAAATGGGAGAATAAAATAAGTACAAAGTTTTCTTGGTTGTCCAAACAAGGGTTGTGTAAAAAAATTTATGGGATCACATGAGTTCCTAACATTACTTACCTATCACATCAATTCTATTCACTATAGTTAATCTACTCATCAAATCAAAGGAGATTTTTGAAAACTCAACACCAAAAATTCATTTTCCTTAAATTTTTCAAAAATTAAACCTCCCATGTTTTTAGGGATGTAAGAAGTATCATAGATTGAATCTAGGACGATACACTAAGCTGAGATACTAATTACCAAAATAAAACACCCAAGTCACGAGGTTGTGAGTAGGGAAACCTATATCTTAATTATAGTTATTTACTCCCTCCGTCCCATTAAACATGAGATTTTTGCTTTTTATGAGAAATTTAAGGGGAGTGTGGTATTGAATTTCCAAAAATTTTCTTTGATGTGATGGGTAAAAGTATGATTTGATGAATAGATTATTAGTAAAAAGGTATGATGTGATAGTTAGGGTTTGAAAAAGTAATGAGTAAAAGTGACTTTTTAATAGAAATGAGAAGTGTTTTGTGGGACAGATAAAAAAAGAAAGGAGAAAGGTTTCATGGGACGGAGGGAGTATATTTCTGAGAGAATCAAGGCAGCTTAGAGTGTTCAAGGTCGTGCATTGAATGAAACGTGGATCCCTTCATAAGGAGGGAGAAAGCAAGAGAAGGAAAACCAATATTTATAGGCTACCTAGACCTCATTAGTATGAGGCTTTTGGGGAGGTGCCAAAAAACAAACATGTGAAAGTTTAGTTCAGAGTAGACAATATCATACTAATGCAGAGTTCGAGATAGCTTATGCACGACAGTCCCAACATGTGGTATCAGAGCCAAGGTTTGAAGGGATAGAGTTGCAGACCGACGTGTGCGGAGATCTCACAGTGACAATGACCAACCGAAGAAGGAATCTGGAGAGAATTCACGTGTTGTATGGGAAGTCCACAACGTGACGGTGTGCGAACGGGGGTTGGCGGATGGTGCTTTGTGTTCTCCAGAATTCACGGAGGACGATGTGCCTTAAATTTTGCAAAGTCAACGGTGTGCCAACAGGACTAAAAGGTGATCTCGAGGCTAGTGGAGTCAAAATCTACGGTATTGCCTTGTATCGAAAGTCTTCCCAACAAAGAGAGGTGATTAGGCGGTGGGTCATGCAGGTTCTTACAGAGTTGCAAGATGGTGGTAGATCAAAACTAGATAATTACTTGAGGGGAGGTCACGGGATTGTGTGGTCTTAGTTTTAAGGGAGAAAACCCAATAATTATGGGTTACCAAACCCCATTAGTATTATACCTTTTGTGAAATGCCTTTGAACAAATATGTAAGGATTTGGTAGAGAGCGAAGAATATCATTCTAATGTAGGTATGCATGATCCCATCAATATATTCTTGAATTGATTACTCTTTTCAAATATTGTCCTTGGATTTTATCCTTTTGGTTATAGTGTTTAGACTCCAGTGTTACAAGATACATATAGATTGGCAGACATTAAAGGATTGCAAGTGATTTATATCGCATCTTGTTCGAAGACGTGTTGATCCTCGTTCGACCAGGCCCCCACGCCCTTGCGCATGTTAGGCCCAGCCTAACCGTGTACAGGTTAGTTAGGTTTACTTGCACCTTTAGATAAACTTTAGTTTGGCATCTGAACTTGAAACCTTTTCACCAATAATATCTTAGCTCATTACCAGGTATATTGGTTGTTAACATCCAGCCTGGATGCTGATTGGGTGCATGCCTAATGACACCGTCAACGTCGTCTCTCCTCTATGAATCGTCTTGACACGCCTTCGCAAGAAATAACGTAAAAGTCACCTTTGAAGGGAGGAAGACATATGAAAATCATATTTGCAAAGAAGGAGAGACGCTTGTTTAGGTTTTCACAATGTGTTAACATACTCAATCTCGATCGAGTACTCCATTTGGTTGAGGGAGACAATCGGTGACAATGAACTAGGAAACGTCAACCATGACAGGTTACTGCTTGTCTTTGTATATTTGAACTAATGGAATGTACTAAAATATGAATAAAATTTAAAAAAAAACAAAAAAACTACTGGTATTATATACTCACATGGACTAATAAGAGTAAGAGTGATACATAATAAACGTAAGAAATAATGGGGGGAACAGCAGAGAGGGGGGAATTACATGTCACGAAGCACACCATAACTAGCATGGTATCTTGTCAGTAAAGCAGACGATGATCGAAAAGGGAGCCTTGATCAATGCCACCGCCACATCTACTATCCACGTCACGCACACGCAACACGGGCACACGCATGTTACTATACACCTGCAACCACCGAATCCAATTATCAAAAATCTTTAATAAAAAAAAAAAACTCTCCAGAACATTTTTTTTAAAAAATGAATTTCGATAAATCCTCATACGACAATAGATCAATTGGCAATAATTCTCCAATGAATTTGTAAAATTTTTCAAATTAATTTATAGAATTATTAACATTAAATAAATTTAACAAAATCGGGTAAAAAAATTGGAAATAGGAACCGACCCCAGGATCCATAAGACGACGCCGGCGAGAGAGAGGAGAAGGGAGATGAAGGCGAACGGAAGGCCTAAAAGAAACCCCAACGGCCGGCATCCGCCGTCTTCTCCGCCGCACATTATATTATTATAATTGCCGATGGGGGTGGGGATTCCTATTTCCTTGGAGTCTCAAGGGTTTGAAGAGCCTATGGGGAGAGAGAATGAGCGATAACGGAAGGGTCGGAAGGCTTGTATAATCCACCCCTTCCAAAATAGGGTTATCTCTTTTGGTTTTTTTTTTAAATAAAAAATGGAATTTGCTAGATGTACCGCAAGGTGGTGTATAGAGACTCAGTGTCTATGTTTCACAAAGAAAATGAGTGTCTGTGTATATTTGTGAGAATGTATTGTACATTTGAGATACATCATCTTGGGGTACACTTAGTTTTTTCTAAAAAATACTCTCAATTTCCTATTATTTACCCCAAATAAAAATCTTTCTTTTTTAAAATACTCCGTATTCTTTATCGTTTCATTTATTTTTTTTGTCAGAATTTGTAAGGTTTGATTTCCGTATATGAAAAAAGTACATTATGTTTTGATATAAATACAATTTCAATAGTTTTGATGTAAATACATTATGTTCTAATGCAACCTTCACCTTCACACCATTTCCAGTTTCTAACTAATACTTCCTTCGTCCTAAAATTAATTTCTTAGTTTGACTTTTACAGTTAAACTTTTTAAACTTTTACGGTATATTTTGAAATATAATTTTGAAATATATTATTTTTCTAATATATATTTATATAAAAATGAATATATTGATAGTCAAAGTGTCGCATTAAAGACCGTGAAAAATAAAATAAGAAGTTAGTTTTAGGACAGATGGAGTAATCTAATATCCAAGCTTTTTCTCGCTTTAGCCAGACTTGGCTTGAGGGGATCGGAAATGTTAAATAATAATAATAGTATTAATTATAGCAGTAATGTATATTAATTACGTAGTGTTGAGTTATTAGTTAGCTTATATTACTAGAATAATTCAAAAGACCACTTCACCCTATTCCTCCTTACCAAAATTCTTGCAAATCCTTTTCTTCCATCACTTTATTTTATGTTACTATCGGTGTTCTTTAATATAATTTGATAATAATTGATTTTATTGAATAATAAAAGGATATCTCTCTCCAATCAAATAAAAATCCACCATAATGGATCACCGTTTGCAGCACACAACTCATATATGAAGTAGAAATTACCCTAAATAGGACTAAAACATAGAGAAAAATACTAAAATAAGACTTTCATATTTTTTTTCTCGAAATAAGACTTTGCACTGTGGTAATATGACACTGTAGATGTGCACATTATTATACTTCTTTGGTAATGTACATGACCGTGTTTGGTAATTGTCCTATTTAAGAATAAAAACATGAGAGTCCAATTTTAATATATTTTCAATGTTTTAATCCTATTTTCGTCTTTATGAAGTAGGCATCATACTCCAATTTCTTACCGGTGACGTGACTGCCAACGTAGTCATCTCTGATGGCAAAAACTAGCTTTTCTTCCATCAGTATCTTCACTTGTCTCTGCCGCCAAAACTTCTTCTTTGATCGGCAATTGCCATTTTCGAAAGCCAAAGAATCGGAATAATTTACCTAAATAGGACTAAAACATAATAATGACTTTTTTATTTCCTAACTTTCTCAATATAGGACTTTATGTTTTAATTTCTCAATGTAGGACTATTAGTCATTATTCAACTAAATGTCCAGCATCACTTGAACATTAGTTTTCTCAATAGTTATTATTAAGTCTTATTTAAAAAATAAAAAAGTTTAAGTCCTACATTGAAAAATGACTTATGTTTTAATCTTATTCAGTGCAAATTTCACAAGAATCCCTAGCTAGTGGCCTAATTTGACTACCGCAAGTCTGCACCAAAAACAAAATCTCTAGCTGCAAGGGCGTGTTCAAGGATTGCCAATCTAGATCAAAGAATCAACAAATACAAACAAACTTTTTGGTTTGGTTTGAGAGATGCCGACCGGGAACATTGCCATGCCGGTCTAGAAACATCTCCAAATCGCCGGCGTCTCTACTTCCACAAGTTGGCACTGGCATGTCTATTCGTGATTTTAGTGTCATCTCTATTTTATGTAATTCGGCTTGTTTAGATCAGACGAGAATTTGAATAGACTTTGTTAAACGAGTTAGGAGGTGCGGAGTACACGCTCGTTCAACGATATTACAAATTCATAGCGGGGTCCAAGGGGCGGCAGCCCCTGGCAAGAATTCAAAAGGTTCAAAATTCAAACGTCAGAAAATAAGCCAACCCGCATGCATTGTTCCGCCGCTGCAGGGACACATCTCCACCCAAACAAATGTGTCTGTCTAATCATGACTTTTCGTCTCTATAAATCTAGAGACGTAGCCATGGTTGAGGTGTATATTTGAAGGGCTTGTTCTTGATTAGCGTGTTATCTAATTAAAGTAATTGATATACTCGAAATAACTTTGATCCGAAAATGTTCTACGCGATGCGTTAAAACTATCAAGAAGATCTTCTCGTTTTTGTTCATCAAGTTCTTTAACGCTGCTTCGCAACGTTCTTCGATCATCCTCCTAATCTTCTAACATTGTCTTGACCGCCGGCCTCTACCTTCCCTGCCGCATAAGTCTCAGCACCTGTCGACCAAGACCTTACCACTACAGCCGGTGTCTCTAGCTAATGACCGGCGATATCGCCTTCTCAGCCAGATCTTGTGGCCTCATCCTAGCTCTCCTCCATGTTGGATCGATCAACAATACCATCTATGTCAATTGATGTTTCAAATCAAGAGTTCGACCAACGACTTCTAAGTAGTCAGCAACTCCAATTCACAAACAAATATCAACCACCATCTCTACTACATACCCTTCTCCTTCTTCTGATTATTATTCTTGTCTTTCATTACTACCAAACCTAATTACCACTGTCTCCCTTGAATCCATCCAACTCTTGACGCAAAACCAAGTTAACTATCCCCTTGTTACCAAATCAAAATCTCACCAACGGATCTTCTTCTCTACCCATGTATTCTTAAGGAGTTAAGTGCACCGTTTACCCCTGAATTCTTTGAAAATTGCATGGTTTACCCTCGAACATTAAAAAGTGCACCAAATACCCCTGAATTCTTCAGAAATTGCACGGTTTACCCCTGAACAAAAAAAATTGCACCAAATACCCCTGAACTCTTCGAAAATTGTAAGGTTTACTCCTGAACATTTAAATAAAGATGACAATTTTGGGTAAAGATATTTTGGAAAATTCATAAGGGTCAGATGAATGATATTCACAATTCTTGTGCGTGGAAGCAACACCCTCTCTATCTAATAGTTTACGACCAACGATGCAACGTTTTAATTTGTTCAAGGGCATTTGGTGCATTTTTAGTCTGCAGGGGTAAATCGTGCAATTTTCGAAGAGTTCAAGGGTAATCGATGCACTTTTTAAAGTTCAGGGGTAAAACATGCAATTTCTAAAGAGTACGGGGTAAACTGTGCACTTAACTCTATTCTTAAGCTACTTTTTCCACTCTCAAATTACTTAATTATTCTTAATAATTTAGTCTCTCTTCTCTTTCTCTTGTGTAGAATCAATAAATACTCAATGCAAATCAAAACAAAATTAAAGCCTAGAGGGGATATAGAGGAACAAGAAGAATGCCTCAACAACTCATCCCTCGACAACCATAAAAGGCTTCCACAATTGAGAAAAGAAACAAAAAGGTCTAAGAAAAGAACAAAGAATGTTAAAAATCTTCAATTAATAACTATTTAAAGAGTGGGAGACGTTTGATTGAATATTGGGTGTTCAAAATTCGGGACCGCCCCAATTCCCAAAAAATCAGGAGAATAATTTTTTCAAATCACTAATTAAAAATAAGCAAAGAATGTTTTAGGAGAAGAATAATATTATATTAGGGTTCATTTACTACATGAAATTGACGAATTTAGAATTAAAATTTTATGGAATTGAATTAAATGGAATTGAAACTGAGCCATTTATTAGGGAACGAAACGTCAAAACGACCGAGTTATGTTGTTGTATGCATATTTATTACTCGCATGAGTTTTAGACCTTATTACTACAATCTCATAACCTATATTCTACTACGTGAGTAGTATATATAGATAGGAGTCGTTTGAGGCATTTTAAATCAAACTCCACGTTCACTTTATAACCTTAACATCCTAAGAATTGAAAAGACTAATATATAAAAGGACTTGAGGGATATGATGAGGCCAAAGATTTACCTATTTGGAGACTCCATCACCGAGATGTCCTTCCAGCAGGACGGCGGCTGGGGCGCTTCCCTCGTCAACCACTTCCGCCGCACCGCTGATGTGGTGTTGAGAGGCTACAGCGGTTACAATACACGCCGCGCTTTGGGGATACTAAACATGGAGGCGTTCCCGGTGGAGCCGCTGGCGGTGACGGTGTTCTTCGGTGCCAACGACGCTGCTCTTCCCGACAGATCGTCTTCTTTCTCCCACGTCCCCATTGAGGAGTACGAGCAGAATCTGCGCTCCATTGTCTCATTCTTCAAGGTATCCACTTTTTTTTTATTGTGTGTTTTGATTGATCATTACCTCATAAAATAAAATATTCTTGTCGCTTCTTGTTTTGTAGATTTTTTGATGTAGCTTTTAATTATATATGTTCTATTTTTATTTTTACCCAATCTTTAAGAAAAAATGAATTGAAAAAACTAGAAATTTTGTTTCATTTTGCGTAAAGTGTAAACATATTTTGGGATGGAGAGATTAAAAGAATATACAATGAGTTAAAATATAAAAATTATAAAAAATTATATTATTGGTATCAAAAAAACATTTTTAATGTATTGTTTTTAATATTTTTTGCCAATAAGGAGTATATTTTAAGAGATATTACTGGTCAAATATTAAACTCAAAAAGCGAACCAGATATATAATGTCGTTAATTGCATTTAGGTTAATATCATAAAATTTGCAAATTCTTGGGAGTGTTCATGCAAAGTTACTAGTCCCTCAATCCCAAAATGAATGCCTTTGGGCTTGTTACTGTTATGGCATCTCGATCATTTTTTTCGTTTGTAGTTTTTATTAATTGTTTGATTAAATAAAATATTCTTGTCGTAATTTATTTTATAAATTTTTTTGTAGTTTTGAACGTTGTAATTTATAAATTTTATTTCTATACCACTTTGTAAGTAAAATAATTTCAAAAAATAAAAACATTTTACACTACATATTGTTAAAGGGAGGGAGTAACAAATAAGTAAACATGTCATCAATAAGTGGTTATTGACATTTTAACTTCAATTCTATTTTAAGCACCGAGTATGTATTAGAAAGCGTTGCAGTTGTACTAGCTAGTATTATTATTCTTTTATGTGCACAGAAACAATGGCCAAAGGTGATAGTGATCCTCCTATCCCCGCCTCCAATTAGTGAAGCAGCTCGCATTCTGTATGTATACAAAACCTCATTTCAAGCATTTATTCATCTCCTACGGTGCTTTTAACTATGACTTTCCGGGGTATGGTATAATGATTTTGCAGAAGAAACCCGTACGGGAATAACACGCCGGGGCTACCCGAGAGGACAAACGGAGCCGCAGGAGCTTACGCCCAAGCATGTCTCCGAGTCGCGACAGAACTCGGGGTTCCATCCGTCGACCTATGGACCAAAGTTCAGCAGGTCCCGGACTGGGAAACGGCTTGCTTGAGCGACGGGTTGCACCTGGCACGTGCTGGGAACGCTCTTGTGTTCGCTGAGGTGGTCGAGGTGCTCAAGAAGCACGGATGCGGGCCCGAAACCCTATCTTCCGATGGTTTCTGATCAAGCAATAAGTATGTCTATTACAATATTGTTTTTCGGATTGCGCCTAATTCGCCCCAACTCTGCATTGTTATGATATTGTCTCCTTTGGACACTTCCCAAAAGCCTAATGCTAATTTTATTTTGTCATGATTATCTACTTCTCAAACCGGTGTGGTACTTGTTTGTTTTACTAAAATTGAATTCTCGGCCATTTTGCTTATCCGATATATGAGCTATTAGCTAGCTCACAAGAATGTTGTATTGTTGTTGCAAGTTTAATTTTGTGAGACAATTAAAAACACTAAGATTCCAACTACAACATAAAAAATACAAAACTACCCAAAATTAGACGAGGAATTTACTTAAATAGTACTAAAACATAGTGATTTTCCCAATGTAGTATCATATATTTTTATTTTTCAATGTAGTACCACTGGTCATTGTCTACTGGTCATTTTTCGAGTAAAATATTCACCGCCACTAGACATTTTTAAAACTAAATGTCTACCATCACTAGACGTTATTTCCTCCCACTAGACATTATTCAAGTACTAGGTATTATTTAGAGAATAAAAAACTTTAAGTGCTATATTGGAAAATGACATATGTTAAGTATTATTTAGTGCAAATTTCACAAATTAGACCGTGTTGAGCCCTCACGATTCATTAAGTATAGTTTTGCAAATCTATTAGCTGTTTACAGTGTAGTTTAGCAGTATTAATAACCAAGAAATACTTCAAAATAAGAGCATCTCAAGTGTCAAAAATGGAAACATTCAGAAATCACCAAAATGCAGAGGGCCTTCAGAATAACGAGTTTAGCTTCTCATGTTTGCTCCTCTGCTGATCCGTGGGAGAGTCTGCTTGGCTTTGTAGTTGACTTAACTTTAACGGGCCTGTTTGGGCCTTTTCGGCTTTCCCATGGCCGGGACGCAATCCAACGATCCGTCCAGCTCCAGGCCCAGCTCGTTTTCCCGGGTTCAAGGCTACTCCATTTGTGCATAATGTTGGAGCTGTTGGCCCTCGTCCACTGCATCAAAACTCTGTGTTAAGACACATTGTAAAAGTCTTTTTGTACTACTCATTCATTAGAGACCAACAAAAGCAAAACCTGATGAGAAAATGCATATGCCAAAGCACGCTCTCGCTTCTCGGAAGCTTCTTCTCGTTGATGTATTCTTGCAAGCGCTTTCTCCTTCGATTCGGGCCCACCGTTCCACTCCACCTGTCAAAAAGCTTTTGGTTGAATTCCTTTCTTTGATATATGATATTAGACTCTTGCTGACCTAGCAGAGGTCAGAAAACCTGTGTCTGACCTCTAAACTCTGAAGCTTTTCCTCAAGCTTTGATTGGTTCTCAATCTTCCTTCGCCAGAGGTGGCTTTCAACTACCATAGAAACACGCCGAGCTCTAATCTCTGTTTGTAAATGAGTCCAGGCACGAAGATGGCTCGACACTATTGATGTTTGCCTCTTTGCTAGATTCCCTTCCCTCAGCATCTTCATCTTCGCAACCAGTTTTAACCGGTGTAAAGCTTTCCTAGCCTGCAAGAGGGAAATTAACACAACATTTGGTTCCAAATCCCAATACTGGAACTGACGAATCACTACTGTATTAAAATATTGAATCCAAACGATTAACTGGTTCGTTATACCATGAACCCGCGAAATGATTTCTGGATCCGTATTGCGGCAATATGTTCAACCGGGATACAAAGGATTATTCTTGGGTTCACATTCGAAATGCGATTCCTTATTTTAGGAGGCCCGATGAACTCTCTCTTTTTGCTTCTCCTCTCTTTGTCCTTCCTCAAACTGATTATCCTCTTGAGCCATTCTCTAGAAGCCATAGCCAACAATTACCGCAGGTATTAGGTGTATGTATGTTCCCCTGCACATAATAAATGCATTCTCTGCGCAACCGTTTCCCCAAAATGTAGTACAGATTACTAACTTCTTCCCCATTTGGAGAAGAAAAAAAAAACAGCAAAAAAAACAGACATACCAGGGAAATACTATATAGAGGAAGATATGAGTAAAGTGGAAGGAATAATAAGAGGAGATTTTGAAGGCATAAAAAAGGGTTAGTTGTAGGGCGTGGAAACATCTGGCTATATACAGCATGCTTTCCCACTTCTAAAAGCAGTTAGAACCAGTTTTCCCAACGCGTAAATGGAGTAAGAATGATTCTACTTTACCCAAATTGCGACACTTTTTTACTATATATTAAAATTTAGTTTTAAATTAATAATTTTGAAACAAATTTGATGTACCACAAGTATATTTTAAAATTAATTTAATAGCAACAACAACAACATTAAAGTTTCATCCCATTAGGTGGGGTCGGCTACATGTATTAGACGACAGCATTGCGTCATATCAAGCATAAACAAATACTACGGAGTATATGATAATAAAGTTATTAGTGTTCCAAAAAAACTAATGCCGGGAAGATGGGAGAGTCATATTTTTCCCACGAATGATGATGGATAATAGTTGAGTTTATAAATGAGCTCAAATGTTCATAAATGATAATTCACAAAATAATTTTGAATAAAGTTGTACCCCTTATGTTATTGACGGATATTGATTAAAAATCTAAATTGTGTAATAGTATAAATGTTGTACACTTGAAAGTTTTTTAAAATATTGTATACTTGAAAGTTGTAAATGTTGTATATTTGGTTAATTCTAAATGTTGTATACTTGAAAGTTTTTTAATATATTTTAATTTGAATATGATTTTGACATGTTAATTTTGATATGTATATAGTAGATTTTTCATTAGAAGATGTTATACTCCGTATGTTTCATCATTATTTTAATTTTAAAGGTCAATAATGTTTTTTTTGAAACATGTTGTATTGAAGAATAACTGCAAAATCTAAAAACAATGTGTTCCTTCCACGGGTTATAAATTCTAATACTCCCTCCATCCATAATTAAAGTTCTCACTTTCCTTTTCGATCCGTAAATAAATAATGTTTCCATTTCCTTTTTTATTAAGTTTTCTTTGTTAAAATGACTTAAGTGTCCTTCCTATTTCTTTTTTTTTCTTTCCTTCCTGCGGCAGCCCCCCCTCCCTTTCTCTTTCTTCTTCTCTAGAAACTTCCCATTCCATCTCTCCTTTTTCCTCCTTCTTCCGATTTCTCTTCTCTCCTTTTTTTTCTTGTTCTTATTTCTTTCTTCTTCCTCTCTCTTTTCTTCTCCCCCCTCCTTCCGATTCCATCGCTCATATCTCTGTCAGATCTGAGAAATCTAATTCAGATCTGTAAGGAGATCAGCGACGAGGAAGGATCTTCTTCTACAAATCTTCTTCATCTTCAGATCTTCTTCTATTGCTCCATCACGATGCGGGACAGCTCGATTTGGGCCTGAAAAGATGCCCACGTGAATTCTAAAATGTTGAAGCTGGGCAAAATTTTCTCTGGCCGGAAAATTGATCTCTTCGGGTCGCCGGAATTTTGTTCTGGCCAGTTGGGTTGGGGGCAGTAATTTGGGCAGGAATGCAGGATAAGAATGGGTGGGGAAGTGGGGTAACGTGGAGGGTATTTTAGAAAAGTCAAGAAAATTTTTACATTTTCTTAAAGTGCGTGTCCGGTCAAACCGGGAACTCTAATAATGGACGGGAGAGTACTAGTCATTTTCTTTATAAATCAAAACGAGATTCAAATCTTTATCAAGCTCACATGTAGCCTACTTATATGGCCTTTTTAACACTTAGGCTCTGTTCTTTTCGGTTGGAAAAACAGAATTGAATGATATAAGAAACTAGAAAAAATTTGAAGAAATTAAAAAAAGTTTGAATAACTAGGAGCTGAACGAAATTGGAAGGAGTTGGAAGAAACATAAAAGAGTTGGAAATTTTTTAATAACTTTAAAAATATAAAAAATGCTAAAATAAAAATTTTATTTTCCAAATATTTTTTCTTTTATGTCATTAGATTTTATCTCAAATTACATTTGTAATCTTTTTCTGTAACTAACATTCTTTTTTAACTTTTTAAAATCAATGTCGATCATATAATTTTTTGTTTTCAGTTTTATGTCACTAATCCATGTTATAAAAATAAGAAGACAAATGTAACTAGGGGTGTTCAATCGGATCAATCTGATTCGATTCGATCTGAAAATTCGGATATCCGAAAATTTCAGATCATGTAAAACTCATACCATATCCGATCTGAAAATATTCGGATATCCGATTTTTCGGATCGGATCACTGGATTATCCAAAAAGTTGAGTTTTTAGCCCAAATTTACAAAAAAAAGGTAAAATATCACTATCAACCCAAAATATCAAATTCAATATAGATTTACTAAAAGAAAAATTTCACCACTAGGAAATGGCATAATAAAAAAAATGATACCAAATTTAATTTGGGAGTAACTTTGGTAATTTTGTCTAAACAAACAAAAAAACACTATTAAAACAAAAGAATATAAAATGCTAATGTAAAAAGTCCAAAATGGTTTAGTTCCAAAATCAACATAAAATTACATTTAAACATATACTCATAATATATATCCATAAAATTCCAAAAACATATAGCAAAAAAATCGAATAACCGAAAAATTCCAGAAATTGAATCCATATCCGATCCGATTTTTCTCAGGTATCCGATCTGAAATATCCTAAAGCTAAAATATCAGATCAGATACCCATTTTTCGGATTGGATTAGCCCGGATCGTGGATGGATATTTCGGATCGGATATCTTTGAACACCCCTAAATGTAACACTCCAAGCCGCGTAACTCGAATATATAGGTTAGTGATCCGGGTTGCTACTAATATGGTATCCAAACACCTAATATTTTCAAAATAATTTAAAACATCCAAACAGTTCTCATAATAAAATTCATCATCAAAGTAAAATTCAAACAATGCAAAAGCTTAGGTAATTAAAACAACACAATTTGGGACTCATGCCCGAAAATTTTCTTTTAACAATTGCAAATTAACAATTTTATACTTTAAAAATTTTAAAAAAAGTATAAAAAAAAAGGGGGGGGGTGAAACCGGCCGATCCGGTCACGGTACCGATACCAAGGGGTGGCGGTACTGGAACCGGCCGAAAATTGTACCGTGTCCACCCCTACTCCGAAGAGCTAAAGATATACAGTGGATTTAGAAGAAAAAAATGGAATGGGGAGTTTTGGGATCCTTTAACGGGCTATTGATTTCAATTTGTGAGTAATATAAGGAGCGGAAATAGTCCGTAGATTTAATTAATACGGGCTCATAAGTGAGGGGCCGTAACCCAAAAAATTAACAAAGGATTGGATCTCCTGGCCCAGAAGGGCCTAATTTTCTATGCCCAAATTAAAAGTGAAATTAAAAAATGTAAAAGCTAAATTCGATGGTCCCGGCGGGGCTCGAACCCGCGACCTTCGGCTCATAAGACCAACGCTCTAACCAACTGAGCTACGGGACCGGTTGTTATTGAGTTTATAACGTCTGCATATATTCTAAAACACGAAAGAGCTTACGGTATGTATTTATTCACTCCTACCGTATCGATTTCGTTTGACAAATTATACCGACGATAATCGTCCACCAGTGTGTACATTCACAATATTTTTCAATGATATTTCCATTATTATTCTAAATAATACTGCCCCCGTTCAAAACTTTTGTTTATTATTCTAGAATTTCGATACTTTTCATTTGTATGTTCATTTTCATTAATTGCTGATTAAAAATTTAAATGTGCGATATATTCTTTATATATCCACATCAATTTGTATGTAAATTTATTTTACAAAATATTAAATTTTACACGTTGTTTGGAACATGACGATACTCATGAGAGAGGGAGGATCGGTTTTAGTTTGTTTTATGGTACGTATTTGTGTTCTTTATTCATTTCATTTAACTTGTAAAAAAGCTTTAAATTTCGTGTAATGCTCACTTCCTTTTTAAAAATACTTATCTTCTCCTCTGAACATATCATGTTAACATTACAAGCAGTAGTCTTATACTCCCTTCGTTCCACAAAATTCTTTCTCTTTCATTTTTTTTTTGTTTTCCACAAAACACTTTCACTTTGTATTAAAAAACCACTTTTACCCTTACTTTTTCATACCCTACTTATCACATCATACTTTTTCACTAATAACCAAACTATCTCATCTTACTTTTTCCCATCACATCAGGGGCAAAATTGGAAAGTCAACCAAAATTACACTTTCCTTATTTTTCTCCAAAGTCAAAACCGGAAGGGTTTTGTGGAACGGAGGGAGTAGTATTCGTCTAATTTTAATTTTTCCCAATTAAAATTGATAATTTTGAACTATAATTAAATAAAGCTATATTAGGTATTGATATATAAGAATTCCATTAGGGCGAGCATGGTACTATATGATATGATATTTAGCTCATACCAGTATTGTACCATATATTTTAGTTCGATATAATATTGTATGTCGCATCGATCTCGAAGTATTTGTTTGGTATGGTTCGAGATTCATCAGTATCCGTTTCGATACATATCCGGATGAATATAAATGTACATAGTTTACACTTTAAAATGTATTGTAATAAAATCTTTTATTTTTGAAAAATCAAAAATAGATTTAAATAAAACAAGATAAAATATTCAAATATAAATAATTAAATGCATGAAATGATTATGCAACTCAGTTTTTGTTTCACAAACTAAAGAGAAGAATAATAATAAAAATAGTATTTCAAATGTTTGTTAATATTTTTATACTCATCTACAAAAAGTTAAACTTAAATTAAAGTATGACTTTAAAATAAGGAAGCTTAAACCAAATTTTCAAAATAAATGTATTGTTGGATTATGGAATCCATAGTTAGGGAAGAAGAAGAAAAATGTGAAGAAGAAGAAGAAGAATGAAGTGAAGTGTGGATGTATTGAGTTTCTTCCCCCCTCCCCTCTTGGTAAGAGGGGTATAAATAATGGGAGCTAGGGTTAGGGTTTGAGCCCATATACAAACTAACAGGCCAGCCCAACATACTCGGCCGCCCTAAAATAAGTAATTAATGTACAAAAAACGGGCCGGTCCAACAGACTAGACCGCCCGACCGATATTATACAAAGACTGGATACTTCATGTCCAGGGTATCCATCATGTATTATTTGATGAAGAATTGTAAAACGATTTTTATTTCATAATATATTATTCGTATATATATATGCTCGGTTTGGAATTTATGATATGAGAAGTTATCTCGTACCACACCAAATTAAATACCAGCTTTCCACTTCATTTGGTCAGGTTTGATTCTTTTGCGGTATTAAATAAGTTTGATTTTTTTGGGAATTTTTTAGATCGGATTGGTATTTGCTCACCCATAAATTCCATGGTTCAAAACCCAATTTCTAACGAGGATCTCATTGTACCCCTTCTCAACCAAGTACGTAACGCCTAGTGGCGGACAAGGGTCGGAACAATTTGGATTTTAATCTTTTTTGTTCCAGTCCTGCTTTATAGAAACATGTCAGAACTGTACGAGACACGATGTTGTCATCCTTTGTCCTGTTCATTTCAGGTCTAGGACATTTCGGAATGGTTCTGGATGTTCTAATATATTTTTCTATAAAATGTAAGTATAAAAATATTATATACTCCCTCCGTCCCCATGTATTTGTCCACATTTGACTTTTGGAACTGTTCATCTGAGCACTTTGACTCATCAAATTCTCTCAACTTGTAAGTCTAAATATAGTCATGTGTGATCTTGTTTGATTTGTCTTAACATATAGATTATTAATATATAATTTTTTAATATACAAATTACAAGATACGGAGTAAAATGGATTAAAGAAGTGCATTGGATGGTGTGTAAAAATGAAAGTGGACAAATGCAGAGGGACGGAGGGAGTATTAAATAGTGTTATTCAATAATAAGAAATCATCCAATATAGCACCATTAAGAAATAGAAAATACATATCTAGCACTCCCATCCTATTTACACATTTATAGCACCTCAACCGTGTTTCTCATGATTAATATCCCCATTTTACCCTTTCAAATTTGGTTTCATCCGTCACTGCGCAATTTGAGAGAGTGAGCCATTTCGCGCACTCCCCCTCACCTGCGTAAATTCAGGAGGCAATTAATCATCAGCCGTTACAACCTCTTCTCCCTATTACGGTGCTGAACAATCAACAATGAACATCATTCCGCCACATTCGATTCCACAGATCCGCTGGCATCGTCTTTGCTGGATTCAGTGCCAAACACACTCTAGGGTTCATGTTCTACAATCCAAGTCCAAATTCAACCGGAGCATTCAAATTAATAGCTGCAGAGATTCGCCTGAAGCATTCGTCGCACACTGCCTCAACCGTAACACTCACATTTTGTTTCAGGTTCAGTATATATGTCATATCTGCCCTATTTTTTCCATCGCTGCCCCAATACTGAGATTCTGAGACTTTTTTTAAGTGCAATGCTTAATGTGTAGTCAAGTAACGGGATAGGGAGAAGATTCTTCTTTATCTACCGATGCTTGTGGTTCATTGAAAAATGATTTGTTACTGTTCCAGACCAGTACCATTTTCATTGTCCGATTCCAACTGACCCAACCTAATTAAGTTTTGTTGGAGAGAAAAATTTGATCTTTGCACTATAATAGCACGGATTGATATTACCCCGCAATGCCCCCTTCTAAATTACTGATTTTCAATTTTTATTTAATATTGGATTCCTGTAATGAGATCTTGATCTATAAGGTTAATGGGATAGAATTCCTAATGTTAGCTGTACTTTATTTTGGCACCTAAAAAATCATCACTTTCAAAGTAATATATATGTTCTCCACTGCACTTGCATTATTCTTACGGCAGCCGAATGAATATGTCAAGAATTACATGTAACGCCCCAAAATATACCCTAGAATTATTAATGAAAAATTATTCAATTAATCAAATTTGTTTTGATTAAAATAAATTGTTGTTGGGCTTTGGGGCGAAATAAAACATATATTGATATCCAATATCACAATCTGGATAAATCTCATAGAGATAAATCCAATATATTGACTTACTGTATGATCTTAATTTGGGGAATCAGAGTATAGACCCAAATTAGGGATTTGTTTATAATGTGAACTTTGAAATGATTTGTTGAAATAAATCATGAGAATAATTGATATGAATTAAATGAGAGAACCTTTTATGAAAAAGGTCAATTAAACCAATTTTTACTCTATTAAAGTCAAACATCGTGCCCTGTCAGTATTATCCCGTTAAGACGTTGCAAGTATTTCGCACTGTAAGATATGCTCTTTAACGAACAGTAACACACCTACTGTCCTTGTGGTTGTATAAAAAGAAGTTTGTTTTACCACACTGCCAACAACATGACACGCCAAACCAATGTACAACACATGAGACCTCAACCATGACACTACATCATTCTATCCAGACCGGGCCATATGATGGCAGTGTGAAAACACCATAACCATGCAGTCAGTGATATGGCAGTTCTCAAACAAACAACAAAAAATCTACACATATATACACTGCACAATCCCCAAACAAAAAAAACCAACCATACACTGCAAATAGCCCCATTCATATATCAGCATCACAATGCGTCCGAAACACCATCCCATTATACCGGGGAAAAAACAAATTGGACCGTACTTATCCAACCCCAAAAACCCAACTCCATACTACCATTGCATAAATGTACCAAAAACAAGAACTTCCCAAATTCAAAACCTCAGCTATAGAAGCGCTATACAAACCAACCAAATTAACAATGTAAGATCATCAGGCAATCTCACCCTCTTATGAATCTGAGTTGTATACAATCATTACCTACCCCACACGCATATTGGCCCTGAGCGAATTACACACAACTTGTACCCCCAACTCACACAGCCATACCACGCTCCAACACTCACACTGCACACCCACCTCTAAACATATACCCCGTAAACTACACCCGTGACAAAAACACAATCAGCCTAACTCCACTATCACAAGTTCCATACATTCTCTTACAACCCCTCCCATATATATATATTGCCCTTAAAAAATTAAACATGTATACTAGCTCGAACATACACGTCCCATACCCCAACCCCAAACTCAATGTGCGACCTATCACACACTACCCACCCCAAATCACGCAGTGCGTGATTCCAGAGATCTTGAACACAAGCCCTGGCAGTGTAAAGGATACCACGGCATTGCACCGGCGGCTGGCTCATATCAGCCGTTGTCCTTGAGCATACCAATCCCGGCCAAACTCAAAGTGCCAAGCACCATACACTCAAAAAATGCACACCAAACAAACCCCAATTGAAACATAAACCATCAATCAGAAAACGAGTCACCATTCATGAATCAAAACATTTCAAAACGTAAGTTACCATCCACACTCCACCACTAAACGGTGTTTGACCCAAATAAACAAAAACCAAATGTTAGTGTCTGCCCCAAAATAATATCGGAAACCACTATTCTAAATAAATCAAAACAAAACCAATAATCCTAGACACCAAAACCACCTTCATACATAACATGTCGTGCACAATCACACCATACGCCTATTGCTATCCGGCCTTATTTTTCTGCTCCCTAATGTAAACCATGCACAACATATGCCTACTTCTATCCGGCCTTCTCTTTCTGCTCCTTACTGTAAACCATGAGCTCCGTAGTCATTTTAACCTGATACGCCATGTCGCGTGAATGCACCTCAGTGATGTCCCCGTCCATCATCAAGTACTTCGCAAACTTCAGCATAAACATTCCACAATTACACCTGCATTTTTAAACACAAATGTTAACCATTCTAACCACATATGCACATTTAAAAAAAACCCCAGCAAACGCCTACCCAATAATTCAAGTCCAATCAGGAAAACAAGGAAAAAAGGTAATGAAATCACCAAGACAACCAGTAACAGAAACGTTGATAAGTCCATGCATAATGGCAGTACGCATTTTTAACCCAAAAACTAACATCTAACCTCACATACCAAAAAAACCCGAATATCAAATAGTCAAATATCCATGTCCACCACTATGAAAAACAATATAATGGAAATGCATACTGCCACGATGCATTAACAACAATACACACTTGCAATGCCATATTGAAACTACAAAACAAAACAATGCCATTTCGTAAACCACATACAGAAGAATCACACACACTTCCACACCAAAATCCCACCACCCCAACCAGCAACATGCACACTGCACTACAAGAAGTGTGAGAAAACCAACACAAATCCATACCATAAAACGCCCACCCAAAAAAACACCACATCTAAAACGACATCAAAACCAACATATTATTCAGGCCATATTACTACACATGTTATGAAAAAACTGTAACCATGGTGCAAGGGTAAACCAAATGACACCGCATACACGCAACCAAACGTCAAAAAAGTAAACATCACAAGAGGAAATCCAAGCCAAGTGCTACCACAATTCCAAACACGAAACATGTCAATAAAGTCATAACAATTTACCAATCAAATACAATTTACCAAAACAGAGCTATTTAATACCAAATGCTAAATACCCAACCTGATAAAATAAAAAAAGTAGCTACTTCATCATCTACCAGATTCTGCAACTTTGGGCATTACACACCACATACCATAATTCCAACTCAAAATAACCCAAAAAACAAAAGAAAAAACCATTGCAAATACTGACAAAACATCTGCATAATGTAAAAAGGGTTTTCACATTGTCCACAACACACACACTTTCACAAGTCTAACAAAACAATTGCACATACACTCTTAATTACACGACCAGAGCTCTTTACTTCCAAGCACTAAACCCCAAAACCCTAAAACCTTAAAAAAACAACAAACATTTTCATATACCAGAATCTGAAATTTCAGGCATTATATCACACATACCATACTTGCCCACAAAAAACCACCCAAATTACAAAAACCCAAAAGAAATTTCGAAATCACCCAACACAGAATCTTAACAAAGCCATGTATATTGCCCAAATTCAAACTTTTAACATCGCACCCTGATTAATTCAACGAGAAAACCGTACCTGAACCTTCTCCATCCGTTTACTAAGAGGAATTTCATCAAGAGCGTCATCCTCTATCAATGGTTGTTCTAGACCGCACAACACATCCGCAGTTGCCATTGCGATCCTTGCACTGCGTCTCCTCTGAGGAATAGAACTCTCTGGTGTTGCAAACTCCGTAGGATTCATATTTCCAGAATTTTAATTTTGGGAAGTGCGAAACAAACGGCTGATTACACGAGCTCAAAATCCGGACGCATGCAACTGACTATAATTTAAAATCCGTCGCCTGACTAGCCGCCCTCAAGATTCGGAATAAGCACTGCCACTTTCAAATCAATTCGTTTCCTTATTTAAACTACAGGGACAAAACAGGAATTGCACATCACACTAAATGTCACAAATTACTTCTCTCAATATGAGTGCTAAATACGTACTAAAACATGAACAGTAGTGCCATTTGAGTGCTTCTCCCTTCAATAATAATTATGGTATTATTTATGATAGTGTTTGTTGAGATTGAATGGTGGTTGGGTCTGGGGAGATGGGAGATGCCTCCGGTGTGGAAGGGATTGATGCTGGAGATGGAGGATGGGTTGGAAGGGATTGTTGGAGAGAAATTCTTTTGTTTGATTCTGGTACAACAAGATAATTTGGAACTTAAGAACAAGGACAAAGGTCCGGTGGATGGTTAATGGCGGCACTGCTCGCCTGAGTTAGAGTATTTTAAGTTACCAAAGAATTGTTATAGTGCTTAAGAGTTAGGAAAAGATAATTGAGTAGAGAATTTTCTATACTATTGAATAAAGGAGTACAAGATGTTACACATGTATAGGAATCTCATGACTAAGGAATCCTATTATAACAAGGAAGCAAGAATATACACCAAAATATACGTACTCCTATTATATTCACATCATATATTTATTCGGATTGGTTTGGTTCTTACTGGGCAACGGTGCTATTACGTTGTCACCGGGTGATCCGTTTGCAAAGTTGATAGTTCTTATTGCTCTTAAATCCCCTGGTAAACCTCCCACACTAGCCGACCCAAACTCAACTCTTATCCTCGTTAATTGGACTCCCCAACTTTGAAGTCAAATTTTTGATCTCATAGTCGGCTAAATCTAGGGGGTCTGATTGAAGGGCGTGGGCTAGGGTTGGCAATTTACTAAACTTGTGAATGTTTCATTTGTCGGCAAATTTTTTGTGGACCGTAGATCCATGTTAATCTTATGAACTTGGTGCATATATATAATATAAAAGAAGTGAGACTTTTGTATAATATAAAATATCTCAATACAAGCCCATAAAAATATGAGAAGATCCACATTATAAATATGGAACTAGAGACCATATAAGCATTACTCGTGTTTGTGACCAATGGCAGACCCAAACCCTCAAATAAGCGGTGTCAAGAGTAAAATGGCCAGAACTTCTCAGGCGATTGTGTGGGCACATGACAAGAGTTCGAAGGCGGCGTCTCCATATTTCTTATACAAACACAATAAGAAATAACAAAAAATATCAAACTAATAAATTTTATCTTTAACGTTTAAATAATTAAAATAACATAATTAAATGAAACTATTATTAATTATAAAAATGATAAAAAATGATAGCAGTAAAAAAGTGAAGTTAATACACATTACATTAGTAGATAACTAATTTTGTCAAACACAATAAGAAGCAACAAAAAAACTACGGAGTAATACATTTTCCTCAAACATTCAAATGATTCAAAATGACAAAAATATGGAGTGAAAAGAATTATTATTAATTATATAAAAAATTATTGTCAATATCTAATACAATTTTTAAAAAAATTCAGTGGTGTCGGTTGACACCACCGGACCCCTTTAGATCCGTCCCTGTTTGTGACTCTAGAATTACTGTAATGTGATTGATATTTCTTTGTTACTTGCAAACATCCATTAAATCAAGTTTAGAAATCACACTAAATAGGACTAAAACATAGATAAAAGTATAAAAATAGGACTTACATGTTTTTTTCCTAAAATAAGACTTTGCACTGTGATAATGTGACTTTGCACTGTGGTAATGTGTCAGTGTACATGTGCACATTACTATACTTTTTTGGTAATGTATATGACCATATTTGGTAATGTAAGTCCTATTTCGAGAATAAAAACATGAAAATCTTATTGTATTGGGTATGAATTTTAGGCATCACGGGTGTTGGTTCTCTATTCCAAAATGGGCAATTTCTGGTCCATCCATCCATCCTGCATTTGACACACACACACACACACACTCAGACTCGGTGTGAGTATTTTCTTTGTCCAATTTACTCACTCATGCCAATCTCTTACACTCCATTTGTATTCTTTGTCCTCTTCCTCTCCTCCCCATCTCAGGCCAATCGGAAACCGAATTCCGGCACACGGCAGCCGCCCCCGCCGCGGCAGTTCTCCGTCGACTTCTACGCCGAATCATGCCCTCACCTGGATCGGATCGTCGCCTCCGTCACCACCAAGCAGTACAAACAAGCGCCGGCGGTTGGACCCGCCACCATTCGCCTCTTCTTCCACGACTGCTTTGTCCAGGTACGTAATTGTTTACTCCTCTGCCGCCGTTGAGTATTTTTCTAGTTGACTTTTTCACTATTTTTTACCTACTACTCCTTCCTCTTTTCTAAAATAATTTAAGCGAAATTTTAATTTCTTAAATTCATTTTATTTAAATATTTGTATAGAATTTAAAAATAAAATTTATATATTTAAAAATTATATCAAAAATTTTACTATGCATAAGCATTTAAATAAAATAAAAGGTGACAATAAAATTTTATTTTTGATGATCCGCTGCCAAATAATGACTCGAAGAATCACCTTATAACCTAATAATTGCCGGATTAATAATGTAAATAATCAATCAAAACATATGCATAAGCAATGTTATCCATGGGAGAAAGAAAAAAATATAATCATTTTCGGGGACGGATGGAATATACAATACAAATTGAAGGATGTAATTAAAACTCAAAATTTATCCTGTTTAAATCGAAAAAATCAAACTAAAGAAAACACTAGGAGGAAGGTAATATTTTCTATTCATTATAAAAAAGTTAATCATATTTTTACACTTACCATTTTCCATTTATGAAACAAATTTGTAAGATAACCCAAAATGTTTCTCTCTCCTAACCAAGTTCCAACAACACATTATAGTCACATTTGATTTGAAATGTGTTAAGGGGTGTGACGCATCAATATTGATATCAATTAAGGAAATGGCAGAGAGAGATGCAGAGGAAAACAAGGACCTTTCACAATATGCTTTTGATGCCATATCTGAGGTCAAATCGGCGGTGAAAACCAACTGCCCGGCCGCCGCCTTGTCCTGCGCCGACATCCTCGCCATTGCCGCCAGAGATTTTGTTCACCTTGTAACCAATTCAGCCTACCAAATCCTTCTTATTTTGATTTAATTAATCACAAAAGATATATGCCCAAAAAGAAAAGTTCAAGTTTCAAATGACAAGTCTCACAGGTAGGAGGGCCATACTACCAAGTGAAGAAAGGAAGGCAGGATGGAAATACATCCATGGCTTCAAGGGTTGAACCAAACCTTCCGAGAGCCAACTCCACGCTCGACCAGCTTCTCAAACTCTTTGGTTCGAAAGGGCTGTCGCTGAAGGACTTGGTTGTCCTCTCGGGGGCTCACTCCATCGGTTTCGCGCATTGCAAGCAATTTGTAAGCAGACTTTATAACTACTCCATAAAGGGCACTAATAACCAAACACACCGTTCATCGACAACGATAATGGACCCTAGGCTTCTTAAAGCCCTAAGAATGTCTTGCCCGAAATTCGGGGGGAATGCCAATGTTCTGATCCCATTCGATGTCGAAACCCCTTTCGTGCTCGACAACGCTTACTACGGGAACTTGGAGGCCAAGATGGGGTTGCTGGCTTCGGATCAGGCGTTGTTTTTGGATAGGAGGAGTAGGCCTTTGGTCCAAATGCTGGCCAAGGATAAGAAGAAGTTCCATGACAAGTTTGCTTTGGCTATGGAGAAAATGGGATCTATTGGTGTGGAGAGGGGGAGAATACATGGGGTTGGAAGAAAAGATTGTGCCACCCCAACGTCTTGAGAATTTCTTTATGTTTACCCCTTTGATTCATTCTCATGTATTTGTTTTTTGAATATATATTTTTCACCCTCTCATCGAAATATTTTAGAAAAAATTATTCAAAATAATCTCAACTTTATTTTGTGTTTCAAAAATAATCCTATTTTTTACTGTGATGCATAATAATTCAAATTTACTGAAATTTGTGAGTTTTGGGTCACAAACTAATGGTGGGTTAATGGAATGGCCTGTTTTGCGCAACAAAATAAAAGTTGAGATTATTTTTTATGAACATTCTTTTTTTTTGAAATTTTTATTCTAATTTTTAAAATGACTTTTACCTTCAATATCTTTTTTCCTTTTTAGTCTTATCTTATAAAAGCTAAAAATAGATATAAAAACATCAAAAAAGAGAAAAATAACTAAAACCATACAAAATTAATGAAATAAATAACCCAATCAATAAAAATTAAACTGAAATTGAAAAGAAACAAAATAAAAATATAACGAGTTGAGTGTTCTAACATTTTATGCACTAAATAGAGTATTAATTACTACTTATTTGCATTCAAAAAAATGTATTACTTATTTTTTGAAAGAACAGGGAAATTTATAATCATTCTAGATAATTCTTCAAAAAAATAAGAAAAACAAATACATTAATCCTCTGTATAGTGTTTAAAATGTTAAAACTCACCACTCGATATATTTTTATTTTATTCCTTTATTGATTACTTTATTGTTTTCATTAATTTTGTATGATTTTAGTTATTTTTCTCATTTTTGTTATGTTTTATATCTATTTTTTTGATTTCTATCCAAAGTTAGACTAATCTTTAAAAGAATATAAATGAAGGAGGTAGAAAGCCATTTTGAAAATTTAAATTAAAAATTCAAAAAAAGTATAAAAACAAATATTCATAAGAAATAATCTCAACTTTCATTTTGTTGCGTAAAACAAGCCGTTTTCGTTAACTTTTCTTTAGTAACTTAACAGCGATTCAAAATTCACAAATTTCAATAAAATTGAGATTATTATGCATCACAATAAAAAATATAATTATTTTATAAAGACCGGGTAAATTTGGAATTATTTTGAATAATGTTTCCAATATTTAAAAAAACAAAGATGATGTTTTTGTTGAGATATTTTGATTAAATAATTGAAACAAAAAAAAAAGAAAAAAAAGATGTAGCTTGGTGGAAACAACCAAGAAGTGAGTTGGAGTTGCAGGAGAACCTTTAAGAGTTTTGTTTTCTTTCTCTTGGAAGTGTGAGCTAGAATATTCGTCATATATTATGTATTTGGCTATTTAAAAGCCATGCAACAATACCGTAGGGGGTAAGGAGAAAAAAGGAGAGAGGTGTTACACAAGATATCACCAACATTGTGTGAGTGAGTGTGGGGAGTAACTGGTTTTTAGTTACTCGGAAAATACATCCGGGTGTAGGGTGTGAAAGGTCTGTTTATAAGTGTCTGGTATTTAGCACTTGTAAACAGGGAGAGTTTTTTGTGTATCGTTCTGAAATAGTGAGGATATAATTTTTTTCTCTCATATATTCTTCTTGTGTTTGTTCTCTCATTTTTCTGGTGTTTTCAATATTTTTCGGTGTCTTACGCGCTTAAAATCCCTACAGTTTTGTATATTCTCTTCATCTCCCCACCCCCAACGTCTTAAGAAGTTCCAAGACAAGTTTATTTCACTTAAGCATGCCAATCATAAATGAGAGAGTTTGTGACTTTGTATAGTATTTTCTTTGTCCCAAAAAGATATTCTTATTTTATTTTTTGCATATTCAATAAAACACTTCTATCCACATCTAAAATGACTAAAATTTACCTCATTTTTTTCTTTAATGTGGGTAGAAGTTTTTTTAAAAGTTTTTTGGCATTTGAGGCATGACAGAAGTATATTATGGTATGTGCAAAAATTAAAATAGGAACATATCTTAGGGGCAAAGGGAGTACTTTATTATACTCGTATTAAAGGAAAAAAATTAGTACTATTGACTCACAATATAGTACTCCCTCCTGCATAGTGTGTTTGTCCGGTTTTGATTTTTTGCAGTCAATTACAACCAATCTTTGACTTATAATAAGATTAAATTTATATTTTATATTAATTAGATTAAAAAATTTGAAAATACTAGACCTGGCAAAATAGACCCGAATATGATAAACCGAACCAAACCAAAAATTGAAAAACCGAATTAAACCCGAACACCCTAAATGATCCGAACTACACCAAAACTGAAACAAACCGAAACCGAACTGCATGTATTCAGACCCGATCGTGATCCAAATCCAATTGAACCCAAACTGATTAAACTCAAAATTGATTAAACTCAAAATTGGTTAGACCCAAAACCGATAAACTGATTAGCCCTAAAACCGATTAGACTCAATAGATCAAATTCAAAACAAACTAAACTCAAATCCAGTCTAACTTAATTGTTCATTGGTTGATGTCTTTTTCATAAAAGCATATTTAAATTATAGGTACAACTAATTTCATGTACAAACTTTTGATTCCGTATTTTATCTCTTAAAATGGTTGTCTATTTTAATACTGAGTATATACTTTCTCCGTCCCTAATTTGATTACAAATTGAGTGTTACGAGGCAAAATCTCTCGTATTTTGAAGTCATTTTATTTACAAATTGGTACATCAATAATAAATAAAAATTACATATTAAAAAACTACGTCAAAAGTTCTACAAAACAAGAGGTGACAATATTTTATTTTATCAAATACTAAAAAAAACACAAATAAACAAAAGTTATATCGAGAAGAGAGAAAAAGAATTGTAATCTAATTCGAAACAGATGGAGTATAATTTATAGTGATATCGTAACACTCATTGATGAATATATTGACTCGCTATCTCTAACACGTGTATACATACCCTCTATACATACAGTGAGGGGAGGCTAACATTGGTAACTCTAACACCATGGGATCTCATCTGAAACTCGTATAAACCCGAATCGAAATAAACGTGAACTGAAACTGAATCGAAACCAGGGGAAAATCAAACCTAATTAAGCCTGGAACCGAACTGAATCAACCCGAATCGACCCAAACTAATTATAACATATACCCGAAAGAGACCCGAATAAAAAAGATCTCAAGCGATTGACTCGATTGCCAAGTCAAAAATATACAAATATTTTACAACATAGAATTATTTCTTATCTGTATCAGAATCTAATACTCCCTCCGTTCTATAAAAGTGTTCTTATTTTGACTTTGTGTAAAAATAAAGAAGTGTTAAATTGTAGTTGACTTCCAATTTTGCCGTTGATGTGATGGGTAAAAGTAAGATGTGATGGATTGTGTATTAGAGAAAAGGTATGATGTGATAGGTAGGGTAAGAAAAAGTAAGGGTAAAAGTGGTTTTTAATAGAAAGTGGAAGTGTTTTGTTGGAAATAAAAAATGAAAGAGAAAAAGTTTTGGAGAACGGAGGGAGTATCAACTTTATTTATTTTGTAAACAAAGTTTTGTCAAGTTTGGCTATTAATTAAAAAAATTAAAATTGGACAAACATTTTGAGAGCTAAAAAGAGGCAATATTTTTACTGGAGTTAAAGATATACTCCCTCCGTCCCTAAATAAAGTTCCTCTTTCGTTTTTTCTTTGTTCCTAAATAAACTTCTCTTTTCCCTTAAAAAACCCCTTTTACCCCTTACTTTTTCATACCCTACCTATCACATCATACCCTTTTACTAATAATCTACCTATCACATCTTACTTTAACACATCACATCAAGGGTATTTTTGGAAAGTCAACACCAAAATATCTCTCCCTTAAATCCTCAAAAAGTCAAAAATGGAACTTTATTTAGGGACGGAGGGAGTATGTTACAAGAACCACTTTGACTTAATTAGCTAAACTCTCCAAAATATTATCTTCTGGCTCTTTTTCATGAGAGAACAAATGCTTAGGAATTTTCTTGCGGCGTAAGTTCTTAGCATTTGTTGGAAAAAATGCGACGAAGTGAGATTATTTTGCTCTGTAATTAATTAATGTATGCTCCCAATTAAATTTGTATTGATAAAAAATGAGTTATGACATCCTTTTTTTATTTTTCATTTAGAATGCTACTTTAAACACTATCTAATGTATTCTAATTTCTCTCAATTTCATTACTTTTTGAGTTCAGAACAAGTTGAAATAAAACAAAATGATTCTTTAAACTATCTATGCTTCTTTTAATAATGATGAAGTTTCTAGTCAATACAACTTTCAATGCCTAGGCCATCTCAAAACAACAGCTATATGTATGCTTTAAACATAAGAGACATGTCGCTTACGTGATTACCTGTGGTGCTTGAGTTGGGGTCTCTTTGAAAACAACATCTATATTTTCGAATGAGGGTGATGTCTGCGTACACACTATCTCCTGACCATACTCTTATGAGATTCAATTGAGTTTTTGTTATTATAATAAACAATATCATCAACTGGGCTCATGTACTCGCTACATTTTAAAAGTATCGTGGTCCTAGTTGAGAATATATAGAAGATGCAGTCTCGTTTGGTATCACCATTAGAAATTAGTGTTAACGCTTTGAAAAAGCTATCCGACGGTAGCCTTTAGCGTTAGCGTTTTCAGAATTAAACCATTAAAATTTTATCCAAAATGCTAACGTTAATCGAAAACATTATTCTCAAACAAAGCCGACCATATGATGCATGTACTCCGTGTACTTCTAAAATATCGTGGTTCTGATTGAGAATATAATGGGGAGTAGATGATTTAATTTCATTTATTTCTGGTACATAAGCATAGAAGATAAGCATAGCCTTTTTTATTTAAAATGGTAAAAACTCAAAAGGGTTTATGTATGAACATGGTTTCTCGGTCGGAATCGGGCGGACCAAAACAATTAATGGTACCCAAATTTAATTCATCACTCTTTAATTTGTTTCCCACATATAGACAGATGAATCGAACGAGGTAAAGTGTCAAACATGCCGGTTGCGGTTGAGTATAATAGAAGTCGTCAAACACTTTGGCGTTCCAAATTTTCATTAATACTTTTTTTAAGCAACACCGCACTTCCTCTTTTATCTCTTTAGAACATTGGAAATGACAAATCGAAATTAAAATGTCATACGATGACATAAAACGTTTTAACTAATTAAAAATAATATAGTCAATGTGTGGTAAGTGAGTGCGTTGTCAAGTCATTGATTACATTTTTTAAACGTATTTTAATTATATAAAAATTATTTTATTTTATTTAAATAAAAATAGAGGTACTCCTTTTTTAAAAAACTTACTTCTTTTACAAAAAAAAAAGGGAAGAATGCCTCGCGCATGACACGCTCGGGGTGGAGGAACGGGGAAGTCGTGCAAGGCAAAGGGAGACACGGGTTGATGTGGCATTGCAGGCATTTGCATCGCCATTGCCTTTCCTCTATACTACCTCCTCGAAGCTAATTCACAACTTTCGTAGCCTAAGTCCTTAATGGATCGAACTATGGATGACCCCCTTGAATGAAGACAAGGCCAACCACTTTTGGACTTAGGGCGTGTTCTCCATTACTTATCTTGTTAAATTAGATTAAATCAGAAAAAATTTTAAACTTCACTACATTTAGATCAGAACCAGATCAAAATTTATTACCACAGATCAGAACCAATAGAATAGGTGAAGAGAACATGACGTGAGAGTAACACTACACACGAAATTATCAATGCTCTTTTGTTGTCCATTCAAGGCCGAGGACAGCGTCCTCGGTCGACTAATGTACTAAAATGGGCCCCTTGATCTAGGGCTACAAGGTGTCCCCACGTTGGGCTTTGATACCCCTTTGTACCCCGTGTAAACATCAATTTATTTACTAGGGTATTTTGGGCTTTCATAGTTGTAATGTCAAAAGTAACTTAGATCAAGTTATCCATTTTTTCCTTAAAATTTGTTAAAATGAAACTAGAAAGATTATTTTACCTGAAAAAAAGTATATACTTCCTTTGTCTTACAATTTTATTTTATTTTATTTTTTATCTATCTGAAAAAATGACTTCATTTTATAATTTTAAACTTTTTTGATAGGTCGTTGTTTTTTCTTGCCAAGTACCATTTTCATGTACATAATTTTATTTTTGTTAATGTATGTGTCTATATATTTAAAAGCTTTTTGTGGAATTGAGTGAATAATACTCCCTCCATTTCTCAAAACGGTTCCAGTTTTGACTTTGTAAAAAAATAAGGAAAGCGTAATTTTAATTGACTTTCCATTTTTGCCCCTAATGTAATTGGTAAAAGTAAGATGTGATAGTTTAATTATTAGTGAAAAAAAGTATGATGTGATAGATAGGGTATAAAAAAGTAAGGGTAAAAATAGTTTTTTAATAGAAAAAGAAAGTATTTTAAGAAAAAAACAAAAAAAACGAAAGAGGAAGGGAGGAAGTATTTAAATTTTTTCTCTTATGGGAACTAAAAGGTTAGTCGTCGTCCCATTATAAATAGGATGGGAAAGTGGTGTTGTGAGTTGTCAAGAAGATAAAAGGATTGCCGGAGTCCCACTCCTTTTGATTAATTAGATGTCTTCTTCGCCGTCGTCAAAGAGAAACTGGCCTAGCATGTTCAGGTCCAAGCCCAACCCATGGCACCCCCACTGTGACGCCGGCGCCGGAGACCGGGACGGCGGCCGGAGCTCTCCCGACCAGCCTAAGGCGCGGTGGAACCCGAAGCCGGAGCAAATACGCATTCTCGAGTCAATCTTCAACTCCGGGATGGTCAACCCTTCCCGAGACGAGATTCGGAGCATCCGAGTCAAACTCCAGGAGTACGGTCAACTCGCCGACGCCAACGTCTTCTACTGGTTCCAAAACAGAAAATCAAGAACCAAACACAAACTCCGGCAGCTCCACACCTCTCACGCCACCTTTCCGCCGCCGCCGCCGCCGACCGTTCAACAACAACACCCAACTCCTCCTCCTCCTCCTCCGCTGCTTCCCCTCTCCGCATCATCAACGGCTGCCTCCGGCGGGTTCGCTTCTGCTCAGGATGACTCTCCGGCATCGTCGGCGGCGAGCATTGATTCGCTGGCTCGACTGATGGGCTACCCGGAGGATGCTGGGACGGCAAGAGCGACGGTGTTCATAAACGGCGGGGTGGCGTTGGAAGTTGCGGCGGCGGCTCATTTCAACGTGAAGGCGGCGTTCGGCGACGACGCCGTGCTGATTCATTTTCCCTCCGGCGAGCCGCTCCTCACCGACGAATGGGGTGTGACCCTTATTCCACTCCAACACGGCGATCACTACTTTTTAATTCGCTCGTCTTAACATAATAATACTGGTTGGTTCTAAATAGCACTTAAATTATTTTATTCCTTAAATAGCATTTAATAATGTCCATAATATCTTGTGATGGCGAATATTTACTTGAATAATGACTAATGTATAATGACTAAAAGTGTTACATTGAGAAGAAAAACACATGTAGTGTTATTTAGAGAAAGTCATTATGTTTTAGTGTTATTCAAGTAAATTCCTCTTATTATTATTCCTTATTTATTCATTCTCTATTGTGTTTATATTCTAGAAAATCTGAATATTACCTTATTAATCATTTAATCTGAATGTTACCGAAGGAAGAAAATTTAGGAAGGACAAATGGAGTAAAAGATTTTTATTAAAATGAAGTAAATTCCATAATTAGTTCTTTATAACAAAGGAATTTTCATATTTAGTCCTCTATTATTAAATATTATCCCCGTAATCCTTTTTTAAGGATGTCTTTTTACAAATGGTCCTTTTTTGATCTGCTGCCATATTGGTGTTAATTTAAAAGCTAAAACTATAATTTGACATCAACATTATGTCCAGTGACGTGTTCTGATATTGGTTAAGAGGATAACATAAAATAATAACTATGATTGTGGGCTAGAATTCTGATAAAAGACCACATTCGTAGACTATGGTTGCAATATAAAACGACTGTAATTCACAAACGACGCAACGGAACAACCTTTGGAATTGTGTATGACAAAAGAGATATGTTATCAATGTGAAATTATACTTTTAGCCCTCAAATTAATACCAACATGATAGAAAATAAAAAAACTATTTGTGGAAAGATACACATAAAAGAAAGACCACTGTGGTAATATTTGATGTAGAGAACTAAATAGGAAACTCTCATGTTATAAAAGACCAATTATGGAATTTACTCATTAAAATGATTTCATAAACTTATTACTCATATTGTGTACTCCCTAATATACTCGGATCCATTGCTACCTCGGATCCATTGCTACCTAAAAGCATTTCTTATTTTGATTTTCTATGGATCTATTGAAACATATTTTTCTTTTAACTTTTTAAATTGTCTGTGGATGTAATGTATAAAACTAGAATATGATGAATAAGTTTATAATGAGTCGATATTATATGTGTTAAAGTCAAACTTTCTCTTGGCTTAAGCGGTATAGTCGTATAAGCATACTTTTTTCAAGATTTATGAAGAAAATTACTCGGGTTCGAATTTAAATGAAGGCAAAGGCGCATTGAATTAATATGCCTCATTAGATTGAGAAAATATGAGTAGATATGACATTTTAATCGAAACAATGACATTAAAAAAGTTAGTCTAAAGGCATGTTTGGTAAGTTATAGATATATTTTATGATATGGATTTTGAAATCTTGGAAAAATGATATGGTTTCTAAATCTCAAACAAAGTTACTTAGAGAAATTTAGAATTATTATGATTTAATTAATGATTAACAAGGCTCACCCGCAATCACAGTGATAGCCGGTGGCGGGGACGGTCGATGGTTGAGGGGAGATATCAAATCTCCACCTTGATATCTCTCAAATTTGGGAGATATTGAAATCCTCCATTTGTAGGATTAATTTGTGATATTTGTACATTAGAAAAATGCTCGGTGGTACATTTGATTTTTTGGTAATAACTCTCAAGTTCCACATTTTCTTAAATATATTTGGGGTATCTTTGATTTTCTGGTAAGAACTCTCATGTCCCACTTTATCCAAAATATATTCTAAGGGTCCTTAAAATTTGTGGCAATGTACTTCGAGGGAACATTTTGTATATTTGACCGTTATGATTTAAACTTCTGTTACTTTGACAAATACTAAATTTTACTTTGATAATTATTTTTTATCAAAATTAAATAAAATTCTTCAATTTATCAAAGTAAAAGAACTTTTAATCTAACGCCTAAATTGATCGACAGAATGTACATTCTAAGTATAATATCACAAAGTTTAAGGGCTCTAGAGTATATTTCGAATAATGTGGAAATTGAGAATTCTCACAAAAAAATTGAGGGTACCCCGATCAGAGTATATTTCAGATAATATGGGAACTGGAAGTTATTTCGAATTCTTTTTATGCACCACCAAACATCCAAAAAATTTGATGTTGAAAAATATAAACATTCATATTTCCTACGCGAACCAGGCAAACAGACCATAATACTTGCTATTTTGTTTCAGAATGTTAGCCAACTCTAATTTTAATTGAGCAATGCTAGGTTTACAAACAAAATAGTCCCAAAGTTCACATATTTATTGTTTATGATTTAAATTCTCATTTTAAAATTATCTTAGACTTTTTTATTTTTTATTGAAATTCATAAATAGTATATTTGTGATATTTGTGATTATTTTATTTGTGAACCCAACATTTCTCAATTTCAATTATTTAACTCCACATTTGACTCGGCATAAAAACTCTCAATATTTTATCGTTTCATCATCCTCATTTTTAATTTTTAATTGTGTGGCTTCTTCAATTCATTATTTTTTCCCACTTTTCAATACTCCCTTTGTTTAAAAAAAGGCCCATTATTTTTTTTGGAACATCTCAAAAAAACTCTTCTTTATCTTTTTACGAAAAAATTTGAGTGGCTCACATTTTTTTTCTTCTTTGCATTACTTTCAAACGCATATTTTCACTCTTCTTAAATTTCATATATGCCAAATCAAATTAAGAGCCTTTATTTAATGACGAAAGGAGTAATTTTTTGTTCCCACTCATCGTCGTCATTGTTTGAAAAAAACAAAGTTGTTTACAGACATCAACAACCAGTTCTTCCACCATATATTAATCCATTCAACCTCGTATTCTTCAACTTATTACATCATCCACGGTTAGTTCTTTAAATTAATTTTAAAAATTTACAAGTAGTCCTTCAAGTTACGTTAGCGTTGCATAAAAGGTTGGTCTTTCCGTTAATTTTAACCGTTACTCCATGCGTATTTTCAATTTTTTCATTATAAACACATGGCAGAAATTCTTTGTTTTTCATACAATTGAGTCATACTTAATGTGAATCCATTTTAACTAAATTTATAGGTAAAGAAAAGTAATAATGGTTGAGTGTAAAAAATCAAACTTTGATAACTTATTTAAGAAATGGTGAGTATTTAAAAAAAATGGACTAATAAAAGCATGAGTAACTTATTATTGTTAGTTCCATGAGTTATCATCCCTCATTGTTCCTCACTTGAGTTTTTGAAACTTTAATTGACATTTTTTTGACAAACGGATAGGTATTAGACGTTGTAGTCGTTTCGCCATTTTGTGTTAGAGTAGAGCAGTAGCATCATGTTCGTCATCTTGTTGATGGAAACATGCGCTCTGTCACTTGGTCCATCTTATGCTATGAAGGAATACTAACTACTATACCCAGCGAAGAAGTCTTGTTGCCCAGAATGAAATATTAGCGGTCTCATATTCATTATGGTAGCGTGATTCAACAAGCTAAGGAGTCCCAAGTATGTTGGATTCTTTTATTGCCTCTTGCGCGAAACTTGGGAAGCTAAGGTTGTGATGTGTTGGGCCTATTCGCACAAAAACCCAGCTATGCTGGAGTACGTGGTCTGCAAGAATTCTATACTTTTTTGGTAATGTATATGACCATATATGGTAATCTAAGTCCTATTTCGGAAATAAAAACATGATATGGAAGTCCTATTTTAATATATTTTCAATGTTTTAGTCATATTTTGGTCTTTCTCCCTAAACAATTCTCTTTGTCATTCATTGCTTTATATTACCTGCATACTTAACTGTGACACAGTTGTTACAGAAACTTGTCTGTCTTGTATGCTTGATTAGTGCTTTTACAACTATTTGTTCTGTGTGCTTGTTCGCTTTATTTTTCTTACACCCTCTGTTTTATTTGTGTAGTCTCTAGACTCATACAAGATTTCAATTATTATTAAAATACAAGATCAGATTAGCATGTCTCATGGCACCTACGATGCGCCGTACAAAAAATTGATAGTTTGTACCCTTTAACCCTCTGTAAACCCCCACCTCACTCCGACCCGAACTCACCCGCATTCCCTTCTATTGCACCCTCCAAGTTTGTTTGATTTTGAAATCAAAATTTTGACTCCAAAAACAAATAAGCTTGAAGGTTAAAATTGAAGAGGTAGGGGCGGGGTTCGTGTCGGGCAGGGTGAGGGGGTTTGCTGGAGAGTTAGAAGGGGTAGGAATCGTAATTTTACAAACGAAGCATCGTAGGATCTCCGGATGGTAATCAATGTCATGGAAACCACTTCCTATTTTCAATGTTTTACTCTTATGTTAATCATTTTTTAAATTTCCAAACTAATTTATAAATAAAATAATTATAAAAATGATGAGATTTCATAGTTATTTTGGGAGACTTCTGGTTGGAGAAATAATTTGACCAGAGTTTTTTTGACGGTCAACCACGTGGTATGGTATGGTCCGTAAGGAATTCATTGTTTGGAAGTTGGAACATGTGTTTAGTAGATGGATTGAAACAAAAGGTATGATACCGATTTGACCAAAAACATTTACAGTACTCCGTACAATCTAATTTCACAAAATTTAACATTCACTTCTTCCCTCAGAAAAAAGATATTCCCTTCTTTTCAATTTTTTTGGGACATCTTTTTAATATAATTTGTTCACTTTAATTTTACGAAAATTTAAAAATAATGTAAAAACTTATTTTTTTTGAAACATGTAAAAATTTATTTAAAAATGTTGAATAATACAAAAAGGAAAGTTAGAATTTGTTTCAAACAAAAATAAGTACTCGTACGTTGGATCATACTACCTTCGTCTCATAATACATTTGTCTAATTTTGACTCTTTGCAATTAAATTTTATATGCTTTGACCATTAATTAAAAAAATTATATTAGATATTGATACAAGAATAATTTTATTAGATGTATCTTGTGAAATTCGTTCAGAATATTGTTGTATACAATTAAT